CCTCTTCGCGCCTTCGTGCGCCCGCCCCCCCGGGGAGGAACACCACCTCCGCGCTTCTGGGGCGGGCTCGGCCGCTGGCCCCACAGCTCGTGGCGCCTTCGTGCGGTGGTGCGGGGCGGCTGCACGCAGGCGTGACCCCGGGCAAGGGTGGCCTCTGGTGCGCGGGCTGCAGTAAGGGCCCCGGCCACAAGAAGCCGCCCACAAGAAACCCAACCCTGAGACCCTCCAAGACGTCCATCGATTTTCGGTGGTCGTGCTGCGCGAGGAGGCGCGTCCCTCGTCGCGCCTGCACGCCGACCCCCCCGGGAGGAACAACACCTCCGTGCTTCCGGGCCGGCCCGGCCGCCTGCCCCGCAGCTCATGGCGCCTGGGTGGTGATGCGGGGCGGCTACACGCAGGCGTGACCCTACAGCAGTGGAGGCCCGATCACAAGAAACCTTCCACAAGAAACCCAACCCTGAGACCCCAGGACGTCCATTGATTTTTTGGTGTGGGAACGTCACGCCTTCCATAGCAGAACCATCGAACCCCCAGGAACCTAGGGCACCTTCGAGACAAGCAGGGTGTTTCTTGGCATGGGCCTCCACTGTGCACGCAAGATTGACCCCAGGCACGAGTGACCTCTGGTGCGAGGACTAAGGGTGCGCAAGGCGGCCAAGCCCAGGCGCGCAAGCAGCTGCCATCGCATCGCGCTCAGCGATCGGAGGGACCCCGACGAGCCCGCCCCAAAGGTCACTCTGGCGAAGGGCCACTCTTACGTGTAGTCGAGCAGGGCGGGGGCCGAGGCGCGCTTGAGGCGAAAGCAGCTCGGGGCGGAACCGGTGGACGAGAATTCGGCGTTTGCTAGAGGTGCCCCTGAGCAAAGGTGCCCGCAGCCTTTTCGCTCCATTTCGGAGGCCCTGCGGCCGCCTGGGCCTCGTGAGGCGTGCTCCAGAGGCCGTGGAGGCCTCCCTGAAAATTCTGGGGGCACCTTGGGCCAGGGGCACTTTTAGCAGCGCCCGAGGAATTGTAAGGATGGTGAGGGCGGCCGAGGGGAGCCGAGTCGATCTCCCAAGTGCCGGGTCCTCCTCCAGCTCCTCCTCCTCCTCCTCCTCGTCCTCCTCCTTCTCCTCCTCCTCCTCCTTCTCCTCCTCCTCCTCCTCCTCCTCCTCCTCCTCCTCCTCCTCCTCCCATAACCGTTGCTGACACGCTGCTCAGCGCTCTCCCCTTTGAGGCGGCGCTGGCCTGCGAGCGGCCCCCGCGGGCGCGCGGCCCGGATATGGGAGGCAGGAGGAGCGCACGCAGCGCAAAGGGGCCGAAAGAAGGTGCGCTTCCTCTCGGGGAGGGGGGGCCCCCAAGCGGACGGACGTGACAAGAGCAGCCGCCAGTGCCACTGCTGGCTGCGCTGCGCATAGAGGGGCCGAGCGCTGGAACGGCATCAGGTCGCATGTGTATATCCAGCTGTCGCCCAGGCTGGCCGCGTCATGTGTATCCAGCTTCCTGGTAATCACTTGCAGATCCCAGTAGCTGGCGCAATTGCATGAACTGTCTTCGATCTGCTGAGGAAATGCTTGCCAGTGATTGTCCTGCCAAAGGCGACGAAAGAAGGAAACCGAACGCAGAGGGCTGTCTCGGGAACCGCTTGCAAGCAGGAGAAACCACAATGGGCCTCATGCAGAAACAAACGCGGACTCCTTTGCTACAATTGGCCTTTTGTATTTTGGTTGCGGGAACACACCTTCACATCGGAATCACACCAGGCAGCCTCACGGACCTCATTTTTGGTGATAACGTATGTTTGTTTTAACGTATGCCACATATTGATACGACATGCAAGTGCAAACACATTCATATGACATCAGGTCGGAAACGCGTGGGCAAACCACCCAGAGAACCCACCAGACTTTGCAGGTCATCGACAAGCATCTGACACCCATGGCTTCAATGCGGGCCCCGAAAGGCCCCACGAGGGGAAAAATACCAAGCTGGCACTCAGAAGAGCCGGACGGTGCCATCACCAAAAGGGGAGAAGAAGAATAAGGACGCTGCGCCTGGGACTGAAAAAGAAAAAAATAATAGAAGAAGACGAAGAAGTAAGACAGACGAAGACGCAGCAGAAGGCATACGCGAAGCATGAACATGTTGCCGTCAGGCGTAATAAGAAGGAAGAAGAAGACGAAGAAGAAGTACGAAAGAACGACGAATAAGAGATATCAATACTAAGCCATACGAAGCATCTCAGAAGAACACCAGTACCCTCAACAATTCATCACTGCATACCGACATCCCCGACCTCCTTTTGTCACCGGATCATCATCACTACCACCTAATCAAAATTCCCCCATCCTCTCCTACCCTACTCATTACTTTATCCTCATCCTCCTCCTCTCCTCCTCCATCCCTCCCTACTCCTCATGCTCCTCCTCCTCCTCCTCCTCCTCCTGGAGAGACTCCTGGGAACGTTGGTTCGGACCTCATCGTCCTCCTCCTGCTCCTGCTCCTGCTCCTGCTCCTGCTCCTGCTCCTGCTCCTGCTCCTCCTCCTCCTCCTCCTCCTCCTCCTCCTCCTCCTCCCACAGCCGTTTGGGCGCCGATTGCCTGTGCACCGTGAGGGTGCGGCGGGCATCCAAGGCCCCCGACAACCTCCACGCGATGTCGGCTGGGCTCTGACATTCGGAGCCAGGGATTGAAGACCGCACGTCGTAGGTCAAAAGAACGGGTAGAGGCAAGAAGGGTCGTGACAGGCGCAAGGCTCAGCGGGTGGATGACGAGGATCAGTGGCCCCCTCTTCCTTTCAGCCTGGCCCGCAGCAAGTCGTCTCTCGAGCAGCATTGGGCTCAGTGGCATATGGCTCAGCAGCCGCAGTGGTGGTCTGTCCAACCTCCGCCGCCGATCCCAGCTGGTCGTCGCCCGAACTTCTTGTCTTACCCTTACCACAGCGACAGCAAGGTTAATTGCTTGTCCTGCACGAGTTGGGCTTGGGGTGTCTAAGTTGCAGAGGTACAAGAAAGCCAATCCCTGTGGTGCTCTATTCAGCCACCAACCGCCACCTGAGGATGGCAAAGACGCTGGCGGTCCAGGAGGCAGGACGACGGGGAAAGGTCCTTCACAGTCCCAGGAGTCGAGCTCGGCTCTGGAGGCGCAGTTGGAGGCTGGTATCATGGAGCGTCTGATCAGGCCAAGGCATCTCAGGTGCTGATGCAGGCCTTTCGGCCGGGAGCAAACGTTGGGAGTCTACTCAATCATTCAGGCAGCAGGTGACGGCGGTGGCGAGCAAGGTCCAGCGGGCCCGGACGGCCTTCGACAAAGCACAGACCCACAAGCTCAAACTCACGCTCGAACTTGACAAGTGCAAGAAGGTCCTTCAGGAGGCGGCGACAATTCTTGCGCAGGCGGAGAAGGAGCGTGCTGAAATGCCGTTCTGGCACGATTCAGGATCGTCAAGACGCAACAATCAGGTTGACCCGTGGCGTTGGACTCCCGAGAACAATGTTTTGGCATGCTTCAAGATTTTAAGACGGTTGTTTTCCAACGATTCGGTTCCTTTAATGGACATGAACCGTTGTAGGAGCCTATGCAGAGGGAGCTTGGAAGGAGGGCTTATCCCACCATCATTGATGCCTTTCGGGTTTACACTGGTCCTCCTCCTCCTCCTCCTCCTCCTCCTCCTCCTCCAGCTCCTCTTCCTGTACCCCCAGACGCGCCCAAGAACACCAATGCCTTACCAGTATGCAAGAACTCGACGCCCAAAGAAACGGCCGCGAAGGACCACGAAGCACCCAAAAACGCAGCAGGCTTAGACTGAAGGAAGAAGAATGATCAAAGCATTCCTTATGACAAAATGTCCCGCCTACGGTCGAACTCTTGCTGAAAGTAATCTCAAAGAAAAGAGGAGGGACACAGGATCCTGCCCAATCTGGGGTTAGATTCTCTGCATGGGAGCCCTTGGAAGAAACCAGCTGGCACAACACCTACTGGGCATCCACCAGAGGTGCGGTTCTTGTTTTTTTGGTGGGTGGGGTGGGGGGGGTTGGCGGTGGCGGCGCTCGAAGGCAGAACGGCGTGGGGCAAGGGGGTCGCCCCCCCTCAGAAAGCCAGAAGATTCTTGGAAAATGTCGGAGACTTCTAAAAAGACTTCCGACAAGGCGGGAGCGCTTCCACTACGCTTCCTGCCTTCTTCAAATGTCGTCGTCGTGTTCCTGGCTGGCGCCCGCTGAGATCTGCTTGCCCAGACCCACGCGAAACAAGACACGCTGGAGCCCGCTGGTTTGGGGAGACGTGAGACTCGGGTTCGGGGGAATCGGGCTGGCCTGTCGGGGCCATCGTGAAAATGACGAGACCCAAATTGAAATTCGGCACGTGCTCTTCCGCTGCAGACATCCCACGGAAACTGGACCGGCAGAGTCCATGACGGGCCCGTCAAAAAGCGTCGGCAAACCCGGGTCTGGCGTTCTCGAAAACGACGCGGAGATCGGGACAAAATCGGATCGGGATAACTCGAAATCTCTGAGAATCGGCGGGTTTGGAGGATGTATTGGGCGCCGCGGCCGCTCCAGAGCGTTCCGGAACGCTCCGAGAGCGCTCCGGAACGCTCTGGAGCGATTTATCCCGATCCCAGCCCTGTTTTATTCTCGAGCCTTACGTTTCCCCGACTGGCGCAGACCCCCGTCTCCGGTGAACGCACTCCCTTTCTAGGGTCCGCTCGTCGACGTCGTCGTCTTCGCCCGCCTCCCTGATCTTCCCAGAGGGCTAAAAAATAGCACCCGACTTAAAAACCTATCCCAAAGCTATTCTGCGTCTTGGTTTTGGGCCGTTTCGCTCAGCTTGTCAGGTCTTTAGGTCTCCAGTGCTAAAAAATAGCTTTCTGGAAGGTCAGGGCTCCCCCCCCCTCTCGGCGGGCTGGCGGCGTGCACGGCGCCGAGGCCGCGCCTCCGGAAGGCCCGCCCCCCCCCCCCGCCGCCCCCGCCCCTTTGCCCGCTGCCGTCGGCGGACAGCCCCCCGTTGGGTCGCCGGGCCGCCCCCCCCCCCTACAGTTAAGGAGCGAGGCCCCTATTTCCTATTGCTGGGCTTTCCGGCCCCCCCCCGCCGGCCCGCCTGCTGCTCCCGCCCCCCCCGCACGCCCCCGCCCCCTAAGGAATCCGAACTAAGGAACGAGGCCCCTATTTTCCACAAGTTAAACTTCGATTTCATACCGAAAACCTAAGGAACACCTGAGGCAAGCTGCGAAACACTTAAAGGAACGCGGAGCCCCCCCCAACGAAAAGGGTTCCTTCTTCAGGGCCCCGACTGCACCAGCGGTCAGGCAAGCCGGCTTGCCGCCTGTACCAGAGGCCCTGCCACGCCACCAGTAGCGCCCACGTTGGCCCGGCGTGGCCCCCAAGATGCCGCCAAGGAGCCCGCAGAGGCCCAGAGGTGGCTCCAGCACTGCCCAGACCTTCCCCAAGGTGGTCCCCGAGTGCTCCGAGAGTCCCCCGAGGTAACCATCAAGCTGCACCACAGAAGGGGCAGGAGCGGAGAACAGACCGAGAAGAAGTGATGCAACATGGGCGTGCCGAGGGAAAGGGAGGGGGGCAAAACCCGCAACCCGCAACTCCATCGGCGCCCCCCGCCGGGGAGCGGAAACCCATGAAGTGTCACCCGTCATCCCCGTGGGCCGCGCAACCCTGGCCCGTGAGGAAGTCCGTTGCCGTGCAGCCGTGGGCACGAGCAAGCCAGCAGCCCGCACCGACGTTTGCCAGTCGCCCCGCGCCTCTTGCTCGACACTGCTGCCTCGCTCGGCGCCGCGCCGCGCCGCGGCCGATCAGACCAGACCGAGAGCCCCACGCGTCGTCCCACACGCCCATGCGCGAGCAGTACCTCCTCGCCCCTCATTCCATCTCAAAGGGACGGGTGGCGGCTTGGACCCATGAACTACCCAGAACACGTGATATCGTGGGGATCTGTTGCTTCTTGGCGGGGGTCGGTCCTCGTGCGGTGTTGGCCGTGGCTGTGCAATTGACATTTTCAAGCCTCCTTTTTGGCGGGTGGTGGTGGCGGGTGACCCGCATGGGGGGGTGAAGAACAGGGCCCTGGAAAGAGGCCCTTTTGCGCTCCTCCTGGAGCTGGCTGGGACCCCAACGGGGGGCCCCAAAGGGCTCCTTTCGGGCCCCCCTTGTAGGGGGGCCCGAAAGAGCCCCCTTTGGGGTCCCTGTAGGGGCCTCTTAGGGCCCCAAAGGGTCCTTCGGGTCCTCAGAGGGCCCCTCTGGAGGGTCCCACAGGGCCGCCGCCGTGGCCGCCGCCGCCGCCGTCGGACCCCGCGGCCCGCGGGCGGGCGGCGAGGGTGGGGGGGCGGGCTCGCCTGCCCTCCCGCCGATGACCAGCAGGCTGCCCAGGACCGCCACCGCGGAGCAGAACGCCCTGGCCGTCGGCATCTCGGGCAGCTGGCGCCACCTCGGGTGGGGGTCGTCGGACGCTCTGCGGCGGAGTCTTGGCAGGTGGCTTCAACAAGGCTTTCGGAAGTTTGGAGTCCACGTGGCACAGCCTGGAGAGTTCATTGTGCTTCTTTCTCAGCAATTTCTCCAGACCAGGTCCAAGTTCCTCGGCCCCGCCCCAAATGTTGCCTCTGCGCGATCTTTGGCCATCCCCGCGGCTCCTTTTGTTCCCACCCTCCTCGGTTACAGCACACAAGAAATCAAACAATTAGTCCACGATGGTGCAAGGTCAAATTTGCAGGGCCGTGTGCGGCTCAGGGGCCAGTTCTCTATGCACCGATTTTGGATTCCTGTAGCCAGTCCTATTTGGATAATCAAGTGACGTAGCCTGTTACTTAACACACTAGCCTGGGGGCGCGTAGGCTGATTTGAGCATGCAATAGTACTTGCGAGACAATGATTGCCGTGAGCTGTGTTCCGCAAGCTCTTACTCGAAACCAGCGTTGGCAAACATTAGCTGATGTCAATTCTTGTATTCGGGAGTTGTTCTTGTTTGGGGGACGGTTCATTCAAGTTCTCTGGGGCTGCGACGGGATGTGGAGAAGGAGGGGGGGGAAAGGAGGGGGGAGGCTGGAGAGAGGAAGGCTGAGGTGGGACAATCAGGTAGGCGGGAGGAGGATGAGGGGGGAGAAGGGGAGACAAGGGAGGAGGGGCCTGGACCCATGCCTGTCTATCCGAATCGCCTCAGCTCGTGTGCACGAGGACCTCCGTCCAGCCTTCGTCGCGCACGTTCTCGCGCTGCCCTCTCTCTCAGTGCTCTGCGCGCGCCACCGCTCTGCCCATGTGCTGCACAGCCAAATTCTGAGAGAGGCATGGGCGCGGAGGGCGCGAGAAACTTTTTGCTCCTCCTCCTACTTTTAGGTCGGGCATGTCCCCCTGCAGGAGGATTCTGAGCGACAAATGGAAAAATACCCCCTACATCTTCGAAAATGATCAAACATACTCAAACATCGTCCCCCGACTATTTTTTTACTATTCTGGAATATGCCTTCTGTAGAGGGACACGCCCGACTTAATCCTACTTTCCTCATGCTCTCGACGTCGGCGGTGCACGGAACAGCGAAGGGCGGGGAACACGACGGGCTTTCTTGGCCCCCCTGGCCCCAGACCTGGCTCCAGACTGGCGCGCGCCCCCCCTCCGCCAAAGCGCCGACTCCGGCACCCTGAAGATTGGTGGAGCTCGGTAAGCCTTTCCGCCACTCCCATGCGACTGCCATGCGTGCCTGCTACACCCACGACCTCCGACGTCGTCCTCTTTGCAGCACGTCGCCCCCCTGGACCCCTCGACTCTCGACCCAATCCGGGGGCACCAATTCCTCATCCAGGGCTGCTTTTCCACGGCCCCCGGGCCCGAAATGGGCCTCTGGAAGCGGATATTGAGGGAGAGCACCAATATGGCAGATAAGCACGACGTTGGAGGTCTGGGCCCACTGGTCAGACAGCAGTCTCCGATCTGTCCAGGGGTGCACCCTGACTGAAAACTCGAAGAGAATCCGGCCGTGGCGACGAGAAGTGTCCCAGAGCCCCCCCGACATGTTCAAAAATCCAGACGCCTCGAACATCGAATCACGATCGGCGGCGGCGGCGGAGCATGTCTCGACCGATGCCCGAGCGCTCTCGACGAGCGGCCGCCGGCCAGAGCCCGCACCCCGGAGCCGCGGGGGCGCTGGGCAGGCCACTCTCCAGTCTCTGGGTTGTACGTCTCCGCGGCGGCCAGGGGCTCCGGGGTGTTGCAGCTCCTCGCTCGGGACAGGGCGGGCCGGGTCGCAGCAGCAGCAGCCGAGCCTTGCGCACTCGAACGCTCGCAGCTGGCCGACGGGGCAGGGGCGGGAGCACGAGCAGGCGGGCGGCCGCCGCCGCGGACGGCCGCCCGGACCTGGCTCCACGAACCGGGCGGGTGAGGTCGCGGCCGCTGGAGCCTGGCATGCCTGAAAGGTCTGCAGTGCGAGACGCGTGAGATTGTGGCAGGATGGGGCAGGAGGTGGCTACCTACCAGACCACCCCAACCCAACCCGAAGACCCGAATTTCGGGTTGGGGGGGGGGTAAGGGTTCCACAGGTGTTTCTTCGATGCTTCCCGCCCCCCCCCCACCGGAAATCGAGGGCAAATCTGCGCCTTCGGGTTGGGTTGGGGTGGTTTGGTGGGTGGTGAGGAGGGGGGAGGGGAGCGGCGGCGGCAGCGCCGCGGCGGCGTCGAGGCACGGCAGCGAGGCGCTCTCACCTCCCGCGCCTCGCTGCCGTGCGGGACAGGGCGGACGGGGGCGAGGACGTGTGTCGAGCTCGAGGGCGCGGCTATCGGACGCCAGTTCCGAAATGCGATCTCCTGGGCGCCAGGAAGGGAACTACGGTTGCGAAGCGGCAGTGCGCACAACGGAGGGGCACCCGCCGACGCGAGGCGTCGAAAGGAAGCGGAGAGGAGGATGGCGCCCGGGTGGGTGGATGGGCGGGGCGCCGCCCCATATGCTCACGCACGCCGCGCGCCCCCGCGCTGCGTCCATCGTTGCGCTCTCTTGGAGTGGCAGCTTTTTGCTTCGAGGAGCAGCGGAATGCGAGGCGCATCTTCCTAGCCGCATCCCCGCGCCGGCATTCTGTCATTCCGAAAACTTCTGCTCGCGGGCTGCAGCCCCGACTTGGCTGCCACTCGCGGGGCCCGGGCGCCGCTTTGTGCGCCCAGGACCGCGCAGGCCTGCATCTCTAAAGGTCTCCCAGGTGGGGTCGGAGCGGATGGCGTCCGAGGATCGCGCCGAGTCGCCGATACATCGTCGATGCCTCGGGGACGTCGGTGCTGCAGCGGCGAACGTCCGCGAGGAGGGGATCGGGCTCGGCATCGAGCCGCATCGCCGATGCGTCGGTGCTGAGGAGCGATCCTCCGACCCCACCTGCTCGCACCCCATGTGGGAAACCTAGAAGCCCCCCCCCCCTCTCCCCGGGCACGCACCAGGCGCCGGGCGTCCCCCGCCGAAGCAGCGGGAACGGCTCAGGACCTCCAGCGGTGCTCTCTCAGCCATTCCCGTTGCCGCGGAGGAGGCGGAGAGAGGGAGGCGGAGGAGAAGGGGGAGGAGGGAGGCAGAGGAGGCGGAGGCGGAGGGAGGCGGAGGAGGCGGAGGCGGCGGAGGAGGCGGAGGCGGAGGCGGAGGCGGAGGCGGAGGCGGAGGCGGAGGCGGAGGCGGAGGCGGAGGCGGAGGCGGAGGCGGAGGCGGAGGCGGAGGCGGAGGCGGAGGAGGGGTGAGGAGGAGGAGGAGGAGGCGGAGAGGAGGCGGAGAGGAGGAGGAGGAGGAGGAGGAGGAGGAGGAGGAGGAGGAGGAGGAGGACGGGGGTCAGCACAGGAAGGACCAGTGACTCCGCTCGCGCAGCTGCTCTTCATCGGCGCCTCCTGGGCGCCGCCTTGCGCCCACGTGTCGAGGAAAGCGCCCGGGTGCGGGGCCGAGACCGGCTGCATGCATCAGACTTCGTTCCCTCCTCCTTCTCTGTCACTCCCCCTTCCGTCCGACCCATCGGGAGGGAGGGAGCTAGGGGTCGAGCGTGCAAAACGGAGCTCGTCCAAGATCGCCACGGGCAGCGAGCGGAGCCGGGAGAAACGCAGAAGTCAGCACCCAGGACCCAACTGGGAGAGGCGTGAGAATCAGCACCCAGGACCTGCGACGTCAGCTTCACAGTCTGCCTCTCCTGGTCCAAAATTGTAAATGGGGACCTTGGCTAGGCAAGTGCACAGCAGCGCAATCGTGGGGGCACGTGTGCGGTCACGCTAGGAGGGCGTCCTGGGTTACCAAGGCAGGTCTGCTGGACCTCGAGGATAATTTCCCCAGAACAGCAAGCTAAGAATACACTAGCATCTCGGCTGATCACGGGACAGGGAGACACATCCTTTGTCGTCATCGCCTTGGCACCAGGGTTCGCAGCCAATGCGTCAGCCCTTTGAGCGGTCGACGTGCGGATGGTCCTCCGCAAAAGAGCAACATCCGATGCAGTCGGGTCGGCCTCTCCCTCCACCTTGCCCATCCCTGTGCCCATCCCGATTCCAGAGAACACCCCGCACAACCTCCGCGTGCAGAGCAACGGGCTGAGACTGCTCAGCCCAGCCACCCTCGCTCCGCGGTGCGCGAATTCGCGTTGCGCGGCCGCCAGGCCGAGCCGCGGGTCTTCCCATCGGCCTTCAAACTCGAGGGGCAACGATAAGGGGGGACTGGCATAGGGGGGGCTGCACCGACCTAGAATCGGCGATGCATCGCCGATAGATCGGCGATAGGCCTCCGATCGTGAATCCGCACCATCCTGGGCAGGTCGGGGCCATCGGGACCCTATCGGCGATCCATGGGCGATTGGGGGTCGATGGATCCCCCCCCTATGCCTATCCCCCCCTCTCGTTGCCCCTGAAAGCTGCCCTAGTCGCCCCCGCCCTCGCCGCCGCCCTCGCCCTCGCCGCCGCCCTCGCCGCCCTCGCCCTCGCCGCCCTCGCCCTCGCCGCCGCCCGTGGCCGCCGCCTCCGCGTCCTGCTTGGTGTTGCCCGCGGCCAGCGCCTCCTCGTAGCAGGCGCTCCAGCTCCCGATGTCCTTCTTCGGGTGGAAGGCCGCCGCCACCGGGTTGCTGCAGTCCACGCCGGTGCACACGCCGTCGCTGTAGATCTCGTAGTCGTGGACCTGCTCCACGCCGAGGAAGTCGAGGCAGTGGCCCATGAACCAGTCCTCGCCCCAGTCCTTCCAGTACATGCCGCCGATGCACTCCTGCTCCCTGGCGAAGTATACGCCCAGGGCCGACTGGCTGAAAGCCTCCAGCGCTCCGAACATCATAGGTCCTTCGGGCAGCAGCGGCTTGTTGCAGTTCACGATGTAAGCCGTTTGGCCTGTATGATCCCTCAAGTGCTGACGCAGCCTGAAGGGGATGAGCACTGCGTCGGGATCCACCTTTACGGTCCAGTCTGTCGTGCTCCAGCGATTGTCCGCCTTCACGGCGTCCCAGACATGCATGAAGAGCTCGGCGTTGCCAGAGGTGCCGTCCTTGCTGGTCGTTATCTCAGCGGGCTCAAACTGGATGGTCGTTACTTTGCCAGATGGCCCGATGCCGACGACCGTGGGCTCGGCGGTGCTGTACACGGCGTACTCGTCGCACTCGAAGATGCCAGAACCACGCTCGATCTGACCCTTGACCAGCTCTGGCTCGCTGCTGTAGTCGTTGATCGTGATGACCGAGTAGCAGAAGAGCGATGGCGATCCCCAGAGGACAGGCGTGCGCGGACCGATCTGGTTGCACGTCCAGGGAAGGTTGTCCGCATCGTACTCGTGCTTGCCCGGGTCGCAGCTCTTCATGCACGTGGCCCACTCCTCGTTTTTCTCGTAGCATGCGTGCCCGGGGTCGGCGCAGCACCGCTGCTTGCGGCAATCCTTCGTCTGGTTGGCGCACTTGGTCGCCACCCAGTCGGAGACGGGGTCGGCACCCGTGTGGCCCCTCGCGAAGCCGGGCGTCCGGGAGCCGAGCGAGGAGCAGCTCCACGGCTCGTAGTTGTTGTCCCACAGGTCGGGCCCCTCCTCACACTGGGGGCGGCAGGCTGACCACTCCTCGTTCTTCGTGTAGCACTGCTGGCCCTCCTCCTTGCAGCACTGGTGCTTGCTGCAGTCCTCCCCGGGGCCGGCGCACTCGGCCTCGACCCAGGGCGCGGTGGCCCTCTGGTTTTCCCAGGGGGCGGGCTTGCCCTGCGGGGTGCGCGGCCCGATCTCTTCGCAGCTCCACTCGAGCCCCTTCCACGGCTCCGCCGGGTCCACGCACCCGTACTTGCACTGCCCCCAGCCCGAGTCCTTGGCGTAGCACTGCTTGCCCTCGTCCGCGCAGCAGCCCACCTCGATGCAGTTCGTGCCCGACTGCGCGCACTGCTTCTTCACCCAGTCGGCGGGCCCGGCGGTCTCCGCGCCGAGCTTCTTGCAAGTCCACGGGGTCGAATCTGCGTCCGTCGGGTCCGGCCCTGGGGTGCACTCGGCCTTGCAGAATGCACTCCCGTCGGACTTGGACTTCTCGTAGCAGGCGAAGCCCGTGACGTTGCAGCACCTGGAGGCCGCGCAGTCCTCGAAGGCCCCGACGCACGGGGGAGGGACGTCACCCGCGGTCCGGTCGCCCAGCTCCTTGCAGGACCAAGAGCTGTTGTCTGGCCCGCGCAGATCGAGGCCCTCCGTGCAGTCCGCACGGCACTCGGCCCACCCCGGGTTCTTCTGGTAGCACTGCATGCCCGCCTCCTTGCAGCACTTCAGGCTGGTGCAGTCTGCGCCGCTCTCCGCGCACTCCGCCTTTCGGGTCGGGCGAAAGGGGGGGATAGCAAAGGGGGGGTTTGAGAATCAGCTCACGTAGCTGATTTTCCCGGCGCCTGCCGGCGCCGGAGGCGGCTATGTATCGAGGAACGGGCCCCTCGGTGGGGCCGAAACCAGCTACATGCAGCAGATTTCGTAACCCCCCCTTTCCCCAACCCCCCCTTCCGCCCGACCCGAGCCTTGGCCAGGCTGGAGATCGCTGACGATGGAGGAACGCGGGGCGGCATAAGCAGAGCCCTTCGGAGGTCCAGGCCGGTCTTCCCGGGTCGGCCCTGACCCCCCCCTGCCCTGGCGCGCGAAGGGCGCCGGGAGCGGCGCGCGGAGGGCGCCGCCGGGGGACCCAGCGCCGACCGAAGAGATCCGCGCGAACCTTCCAAACTGTACAGTCATAAGTCAGGGGGACGTAAGACCTGGGTACAGGGGGCTCGGAAATCCCCGACGAAGTCGTCAACAAGATGACGAGGCCGAGCCTGCATTTTGACGAGGCCTCCCGCTGCAGACATCCCACGAAACTCCTCCTCGTCAAAATCCGAGGCGCGGTCGTCAAAAAACGATGGCGAACCCGAGTCCTGGCAAGCCCGGGTCTTACGCTCCCCCGAATAAGGAGCGCTGCGGGCAGGAGCGAAGCAGCATGTTCTTGCCACGGAGAGCCTCGGCCACGCAAAGGGGCTCCCCGCCGGCAGGTCCAGGGAGCGGTCCGAGAACCAGAGCCCCCCCCCAGGCCCAGAGTTAGGTCGGGCATGTCCTCCTCCAGGCGGAGCTTGGGTGAAAAACTGAGAATCGTGAAAACAGATTCGCTGATAGTCAGGAATAATCGAAACATCGTCCCCATACTTTTTTTTCGCCTATTTTTGAATTTCCCTCTTGTCGAAAGACGCGCCCGACTTCAGCCCAGAGTGGTCCTCACTGCAAGATCCCGGGTGCCTGCTCATGCCGCCTTCTCTTCCTCCAGATGAGCGCCGCGCTCGCATGGCCGCGCGGGGGTCCCCGCCCCGGCCCTGGGCGAGGGCCCACACCTCGGCACGCCCGAAAGGGGTACCAGACGAGCGCGTTCCGCTGCTCGCAAATGGCATGGATCCGCCCTGGGAGATTTGCGATAAATTACATCGATGAGGGCCCGTTTTTTTTTCCGACGTTTGCGAGTCGGCACTTTGCGAGCAGTGGAACGCGCTCGGCGAGGTCCGGGAGAATGGGTACGATGCCCAACGGCAGACGTGGTCCAGAACTTGCAGTGGCCGCTGTTGGGCAGGCTGCTTGTCTCAAACAGACAGCGTGCTCGGCGACCTCGACAGCGAGCCCTGTGCCAGAGGAACAACAGAGGAATGGAATGGGATGGAGTGGAAGTCCGCATGCCGGCTCCAGTAACTGGAGCGGTCCCGTAGAGGGCAGACCGTGCGCCGAGCATGTCGGAAAGTAAATGGAAAGCAACGAGCGCACGCGAGAAAAGGCGGTTGATACATCCTCTGGTGTGCATCGCGTCGCGAGAGGAGTACAAAAAGGCAGAAACGTGAGCTGTCGGAGGTGCGCGCGGATTTCTTGGATCGGCCCTGGGCTCAGGTCCCGCATGTCCTCCTGCAGGCGGATTGTGGGCGAAGAGCAAGAAGTGCCAAGAAACCTGCAAAAATAGTCAAACAAATCGGCCCCGGACCATTTTTTGACCATTTCTGCACACCGGAGGGCCAGGCCCGCCTTCAGAGCCTGGGCCCCCCCCTTCCTGGGCGGGCGGATCGCGACAGGGGTGGCGCCGTGGGCGCTGCCGAGGGGGCCCCGGCGCCGACCCCAGAGAAATCCTCGCGGGCCTCCCAGAGTTAGGCTTGTGCCTCCTCCTCCCTCCTCCTCCTCCTCCTCCTCCCTCCTCCTCCCTCCTCCTCCCTCCTCCTCCTCCGCCTCCTCCTCCTCCTTCCTCCTCCTCCCTCCTCCTCCGCTCTCCTCCTCCGCCTCCTCCCTCCTCCTCCAACGCCTCCTCCGCCTCCTCCGCCTCCTCCTCCTCCGCCTGCTCTCCTTCCTCCTCCCTTCTCCGCTCCTCCTCCTCCCCTCTCCTCCCTCCTCCGCCTTCCTCCTCTCCTCCTCCTCTCTCCTCCTCCGCCTCTTCCTCCCCCTCTCCTCCTCCCTCCCTCCTCTCCTCCTCCTCCTCCTCTCCCATCCTCCCTGCTCCTCCTCCTCCTCCTCCTCCTCCGCCTCCTCCGCCCTCCTCCTCCGCTTCCTCCTTTCCTCCTCCTCCTCCTCCGCCTCCTCCTCCTCCTCCGCCTCCTCCTCCTCCTCTCCGACGTTCTCAGCATGGGGAGCGCGGGTCCTGCGGGAAACGGGTCCTGGACCCTGGGGCCTTCAGCGAGGGCGAGATCTTCATCCCGAGCAGTTTCAGTGCGCTCCCGGGGCCCGTGGAGGGCCAGGGCCCGAAAGCAGGGAAAAGCCTCAGGATTTGTTTCCCTCAGGACCTGGCCCCCCCCAAGGCGAACGCTCGGCATGGGCCGGAACCGCTGTTGGTCTTTTGAGCAGGGACCAACCGCCCCACCATTCGTGTGTGTATATATATATATATGTATATAGACGAGCGCGTTCCGCTACTCGCAAAGGAACTACTCGCCAATAGCTTGAATCCGCCGCGGGGGATTTACGAGCCGTCACGCATGGGAAGACATGCTTTTGTTCGGACGTTTGCGAGTAGGCAGTTTGCGAGTAGCGGAACGCGCTCGGTGAGTATAGGCCGACCACGAAGTGTCCTCAGAACCAAAGCATGTTCGAATCACAGAAACAGTGCCCTTAGCGCATGCTGCCGTCGTGTCATCACAACACGGCCTCGGCCACAACTGTTCGAAGAACGCGTCCTGTAAACCAGAAGATGTCGGGAGCGGCCAAGAGGGGGGTGTCCAAGAGGGGGGGGTGCAAATCATGACCGGCGGCATGTGCGCGGCCCAGCGGGGGGGGCCAGGGACGTAATGAAATAAGAAGAGGCGCCATGAAATCAGGGGAAATATCATGGCCCCCGCCATGATACCCCCCCCCCAGTCATCACCCCCCTCTTTGCCGCCCCCGACGATGTTCTCAGAGCACTCCTTGGTGCCCCGATAGGCAGGCCAGGACGCATCGCCGCAGCGCCTGAGCCTTGCGTCCCCCCTCTTCCCCTCTGCCCCTTTCGATCGCACAGCAGAGCACCGCGAGGAGGCCGCCGGCGGCCGCCAGCGCCGCGCCGCGGGCTCCGCAGAGGCGCTGGCGGCCGCCCGCAGAGCCCGCGCCGGCCCTGGCCGGCAGCATCGGGTCGGAGCCGTCGGCCGAGTCGCTGGCGGGCTCGTGGTCCCACGGTGCCGACATCTCCGCGGAGGGGCGCAGCCGGGAGCCACGTGGGCCTGCGGGTGCCTCTGCGCTGTCTCTGGGGGGCGCGTCTTCGGCCTCGAGCCGTCGCTGTTGCGGAGGAGCCCGAGGCGGAGAGGGAGGGAGCGGGATGATGATGACGACGGTGATGACGGTGATGACGGTGATGATGATGATGATGATGATGATGATGATGATGATGATGATGATGATGATGATGATGATGATGATGATGATGATGATGATGATGATGATTGGAATGGTGGTGGTGATGATGATGATGCTGATGCTGATGATGATAATGTTGTTGATGATGATGACAACGATGATGATAGTGGTGCTGAAGGTGACGATGCTGCTGCTGCTGCTGCTGCTGATGATGATGATGATGATACTGATGATGCGGATTATGATGATGATGCTGATGGTGATGCTGATTATGATGAGTATGATGGCGATGGTGATGATGACGACGATGATGATGCTGATAATGATTCTGACTCGGATGATTATTATGATGGTGATGGTGATGATGATGATGATGATGATTGTGATGAGGATGACGATGTTGATGTTCACGATTCGGATTGCGACGATAACAACGGCGATGACGCATATGATTATGACAACGGTGGTGAATGTTGTGGGGGTGATGGTGATGGTGATAGTGGTGATGATTCTGCTGCTGCTGATGATGAGGGTGGGCAATCATGATCATGTTGGTGATGCCCCTATCTTGTCACCATTCGGTGAAACGATAGGGACATCGGTGAACGATGGTGATCAGACATCATGATTTCAATAAGTCAACACTGGCCAACAGAGGGACATTCGGAGCGAATGGTGGCACATGGTGGTGATCAACACTCGGTGACAAAACTGACACACTCATCTTCCTCACTCCTTCTCCTTACTTCCGCACACGGGCCGAACGCTTGGGATTGAAGGGGCCCTGGGACACACAAATAAATACACACACACATAACAAGATCCCCCATGTTTTCCTATATTTTCTGGGTTCTTGTCTTCCCCCCCACTTCCCATATTTTCCAATCTTTTCCGAGGAGTCGACGATTAATTGTGTCTGTGTTTTTTCCCCTCCTGAGGGATGCGCCCACGCGGCCCGAATCGTCAGACCGGCCCGGCCCCGCCAGACCTGAGGGAGGAGGGCGGAGAGGAAGCGGAGGCAAACCCTCGGAGAGGCTTCTGGACTCCCAGGGCGACGTCGTCCGCGGAGGGGAAGGAGAGGAGGAAGGAAGGAGAGGGGGGGTGGGGGGAAGGAACGGAAAGGGAGGGAAGGAGGGGGGGGGTGGGGGGGAAGGAGGAGGAGGGAAGGAAAGGGAGGGAAGGAGAGGGGGGGTGGGGGAGAAGAGGGGAGGGAAGGAGAGGGAAGGAAGAGGAGGCGGAGGCAGCAGGGGCGGAGCAGGAGCGGGAAAGGTGGGCGGCGGGAGGGAAATGGGGGAGCGCGAGGCGGGAGGAGGCAGGAGGAGCGGGTCGAGGAGGCAGGGAGGAGGCGGGGAGGAGACAAGAGGAGGAGGATGACGAGGCAAGAGGAGGAGACCCATCGACAATATTGCAATCAATTCTTCTTCCAAGTTCCCTCTTCATATGCCCCTACCAAGATTCATTTCCACTGAACGAGCTGTCCCGTTGGAGGACAATCGTATGAAAATCCTGCACTCTGCCAAAACACCATTCCTGGGACTTCAACGCCTCGAATCACCGTTATTGTCGCGTCTTGACGGCCGCAAGGACACCATTCCGGGGACTTCAGCACGAAGAATCAAAGTAGCTGTTGCGCCGTGACAACCCGACATCGTGTAAAAACATCGCTCTTGGGACGTTAACCACGAGAATCCGTACTCTTAAAACGAATGTGCCCGGCGCCAAGGCGAGAATTACATTTTGGAAAGGAACCCCGTGAAGCGCATGGAAATTCCCCAATCAGTGCTTGCACTGACGGGGTCCTGGCGGAAGTTGAAAGATTTGGCGAACATTTCCCGCCGATTTTGGCAGCAAGCTGGGTGTTCGGGCTCCCCGTTCCGGGTTCCCGGGTTTCCAGTTATTGGTTCCGGGCTGATTTCGGTGGATTCTGGGTTCCCATTGCAAGCTCCTGGGTTCCCGGTCGATCAATCAGTGCTTGCACTGAAAGGGTCCTAGCGGAAACTGAAAAATTTGGCGAACAAATTCCCACCGATTTTGGTAGCAAGCTGGGTTCCCCAGTTCCCGGTCCCGGGTTCCCGGGTTCCCAAGTATTGGTTCCGGGCCGATTTCGGTGGGTTCTGGGTTCCCGGGCTCCCGGGTTCCCGGTCGATTTCCTCAGCGAAACCATCCACTCATTATTGGGTTTTTTCTCTGGTGTAATTGCTTAAACGAGTATGTGCGGCGCTAAAACGAGAACCGCATTTTGAAAACGATCCGCCCTCCATCCGTGAAACTCTTGCAACGTAAGAAAACGGATTCGCGCTGCGTTACGGTGAGAGTCACATTTTGAAGACGACCGTCCTTCCATGAGAAAACGAATTGGCGCGGCGTTGAAGCGAGAGCCGCATTTTGAAAACGACCCTCCTTCCATCTGTGAAACTGTTGCAAGTCAAAACAAGAATCAAGGTGGATGAGGAGGACTAGGAACGGGTCGACGATGCCCGCCCCGCCACTGATTTCATGCCCCGCCAACTCCGCCGCACGGCCGAATCCGCCTCCGCCCCGCCGCCGCCGGCCCTCTCTTTTCCGCCACTCACCCTCCCCAGCGCGGCCATGGATGCTGTCTTGCATCCCCTGCATCCTTCGGCTCAGCGGCCGGCGGCGTCCGGCTCTCGCGGGGGCTTCCTGTGCTTTCGCGTGTGCACATACTCTTGGGTGAATACCCCCTCCTCGATGTTTCACCACTGGCTGGAACGCACCGGTGCGTCGGAAGAGAACACACGGTTGTGTGTGCAGAGTGATCAAAAATGCATCTAGCGTGGGCCCCAAACAGTGTGCTTCAGCATGCTCCGTTGTGCAGTTCATGACAACAAGTGCACCGTGTGTTGGAATCCACGTGCAATTGAGTTCGACCCTCTGGCGCGTGAGCATTTCCATGCTCGCGAAATCATCCCACCCACCCGCCCGCAAGTTGGTTTGCAAAACCCATGCGGCGGCGATTGCGATGGCTGCTTGGCGCTGGCTGGTGCGTCGGTGCTGCCGCGCTAGCGCGCGCAGGCTCGCAAGCAGAGCGGCAAGCTAGGCTGGCCCGAGCGACGCGGCCGCGGTGGCGCTCATCGCTGGGAACTTCACAGTGCGTCTCGCAGACCGCGCTGGCGCGCGGGCGCAACATTGCGAATCGGTGACTCGGGCGGGCGCGGTATCATGGCGACGTCGACAACGGCACGCCCATGACGATGATGGTGTCCTCGCGACGGTGATGCAGGTTTTGGAAGGATTTCGACATGCGCGCGGGGTCGACGCGTGCGACTGGCCCGCATGGTGTTACTTGAGAGGGATCGTACCCCCACCCAGCACACGCGCAAACGCGTTCGAATCATTTCGACATGCACGCGCGAGGGGCACGCTTGGTAGCATTTGATGAGCAGGTTGAACAACCTATGGCTTTCGTAACAGTTCGCGGAAACGTGAGCGCAGGTTTTTTGACAAGTCCTTTGCGAGATCCTTACGAAACCTAGTTTTGGTTTGTATCATGTTTTTTGTTTAGTCTTTATTCTTTGTTATAAATATATAAATGTACACGGAGTTCGGCAGGCGCACGCGACGACGCGCGCGTGTGCACTTCGTCCCATTTGTTGTACGGGGTTATTGCGACATCACGCGCAAAGGGGATCCGAGTGGCTTCGACATGCGCGCGCGAGGGGCACGCTTGGTAGCATTTGATGAGCAGGTTGAACAACCTACGGCTTTCCTAACAGTTCGCAAGAACGTGAGCGCAGGTTTTTTGACAAGTCCTGTTGCGAAATCCTTGCGAAACCTAAGGTTATTTTTGTTTGCGGATGTCGGCAGGCGCACGCGACGACGCGCGCGTGTGCATTTCGTCCTATTTGTTGTACGGGGTTATTGCGACAGCACGCGCAAAAGGGATTCGAGTGGCTTCGACATGTGCGCGCGAGGGGAACGCTTGGTATAACTTGATGAACAGGTTGAACAACCCATGGCTTTCCTAACAGTTCGCGAAAACGTGAGCGCAGGTTTTTTGACAAGTCCTGTTGCGAAATCCTTACGAAATCTAGGTATATTTGCTTTTTTATTTGTTGTTTATGCGGATTTCGGTATACGCACACGACGACGCGCGCGTGTGCACTTTTTCCTATTTGTTGTACGGGGTTATTGCGACAGCACGCGCAAAGGGGGTTCGAGTGGCTTCGACATGCGCGCGCGAAGGGCACGCTTGGCCGAAACATTACACCAGAGAAAAACCCCAATCAGTGGATGGTTTTCGATCAAGAGATCGACGGGGAACCCGGGAACAGACGAACCCAGAATCCACCGAAATCGGCTCAGAACCAATAACTGGGAACCCGGAAGCCTGGAACCGGGAACCTACGAACCCAGCCTGCTACCAAAATCGGCAAGAAATTTTCGCCAAATCTTTCAACTTCCGCTAAGACTCTTCAGTGCAAGCACCCGGGAGCCAGGGAACCCAGAACCCACCGAAATCGGCCCAAAACCAATAACCGGGAACCCGGGAACCCAAAACCAGGAACCCGGGAACCCAACCTGCTACCAAAATCGGCGGGAAACTTTCGCCAAATCTTTCAACTTCTGCTAGGACCCCTTCAGTGCAAGCACTGATTGGGAAACATTAGGTTTCGCGAGCGATTTTTTGTTTCATAATTCCAGTTGTGAAGCCAATTCTATGAATGTTTCGGGACACTCGATTTCGGACCCCCTACGAAACCAAAACAGTTTTTCAATGATTGCAGCAAGCGCGCGACGACGCGCGCGCGCGCTTCGTCCATTTTTTTTGGGGGCAAATGGGGCTCTTGAAACAATTCGGTTAAGTGTTCGCGCATGTTTTGTTTTATAATAAAGGATGAGGGGGAGGTGATACCAGCTTGGATGGGATCGTATGAGAACTCATGTTTTGAGTGGACGAAAGGGGCTTCATCACATGTAAACTGCGCATCCCCAGAGGGGGCTGATAATCCTTGCCTCTGGGCAGTGGTAGATCCTAACCTCTTTTGAGAAAAAGGAATGTGCGTGGTGTAAGCTATTTAGTGCAATATCTGTTCAGGAATCTATGTGCTGGTAACCATGGGATGCACTCGCTGTGGTGTAAGCTATGCGGTACCATTTGTGTGGCCCAACCTATGTGGTGCAATCTATGTGGTGCAGTTGACTACCCTGCACCGCGCTTGACCACTCCACTGCTCGCGCAAACATCCCACCCACCCACCCGCAACTTGGTTCGCAAAATCTCTTAAGACCGTGACGGTGGGTACCAAATGGCACTTGCCAACGACAGCGACGCCGACGACGACAGCGACAACGACGACGACGACGCCGCCGACAACGACTACGACGACACCGACGACGTCTCCAACGACTTCGACGACGCCGACAACGACGACGACGACGACGACGACACCGAAGACGACGACGACGTCGCCAACGCAGACGACGACGAGGGAGGAGGGAGGACGACGACGGCGACAACGACGACAACGACGACAACGACGAGGGAGGAGGGAGACGGCGACGACGCGAACGACGAAGAAGGAGGAAGGACGGCGACGCCGGCGACGACGCCAACGACGAAGAAGGAGGAAGGACGGCTACGCCGACGACGACAACGATGAGGGAGGAGGGAAGACGACGACGACGACAACGACGACGACGACGACGACGACGACGACGGCGACGACGGCGACGATAGGAGGGACGACGACGAGACGCCGACGACGGACGACGACGACGACGAGGGAGGAGGAGGAAGGACGACCACGGCGACAACGACGACGGAAACGACCACGACGCCAAAGAGGACGACGACGACGAACACGAGGTAAGACAGAGGACGACGTAGGCGACGACGACGACGACAACGACGCGGGAGGAGGGAGGACGGCGACGACGACGACGACGACGCAAGAGCACGCGCGCACGCTTTTGTTGAAAATCCGTGTTGCGAAATCATGGGTTTTTGTAAGTTTTTTGGACGCGCGATTTCGAAATCCTTCCGAAACCGATGGGTTTTGAAGGATTTCGGCGTACGCGCGCGACCATGCGCGCGTCTGCACTTCGTCTCGTTTTTTGCAGAGGATTCTCGCGCAAGGGCGTTCGACAGATTTCGACATGCGCGCGCGCGAAGCCCGTTTGGTAGCATTTTGTGACAATTTTGAAAAACTTTGGTTTTCTTAAGATTTCGCAAGAGCTCGCGCGGAAGCTTTTTTTGCAAATCAGTGTTGCGAAACCATGTGTTTTTGTATGTTTTTTGGAAACTCGATTGCGAAATCCTTCCAGCACCGAAGGTTTTTGAAGGATTTCGGCGTGCGCGCGCGACGACGCGCGCGTGTGCACTTCGTCTCATTCTTCGCATTTTTTGCAAGGGATTCGTGAAACAGTGTTATGTTAGAACAAAAAATGTCACTGCATAGTTTTTTTTACAAAAGACCCTCAGGGGGGGGGGGAGCCGGCCTGCCTGGGATGGTATGATTTCATATTTAGGATGGACGAGTGTGCAGAATACATATATATATATATATATATATATATATATATATACATATATATAAATATACTATCCCAGGGGGAAGCGTTAAGTCCAGGGGGGAAGGGTCGAGTCTATTCTCTTTTTAGAAAGGAGAATCCGTGTGGTGCAAGCTATGTGGTGCAGTCTAGGTTAAGCAAGCTATGTGGTGCAATCAACGAAGCTCGCGCGATCAACATTGCGACCACATGCGGCGGCGACGGGCCACCACAAGCTGGCCGGACCGCCGCGCAGGCCCAAATGGGCAGCGGCGTCGGGCGGCAACGGGCCACCACAAGCCGGCCGGACCGGCGCACAGGCTCAGACGGGCGGCGGCGACGGGCTGCGACGGGCCACCACACGCTGGCCAGACCGGCGCACCGGCCCAGTTCCTTACGAGAGAAGTGGAGGCCCCTAAATACGAACGCTTCTTGGGGCAAGGCGCATACGAGAGAACGCGTTTCACGGGCGCTTGCCTGGGGAACATTCGGCGGCGCGTTTCGAACCGGGGGAACCGGGGGTGGCCCCCCCCCCCCCCAACACTCGGCGCCGTCGATCAAAACCAGGGGACTCCCTTCCCCCCACCCCTCCCCCCCTCCCGAACCCCCCCCCCTTCCCCCCCCAAGGGGGGGGGTGTTTCAACCCCCCCTTCCCCTCCCTTTTCAAGGGGGGGTGGGGGGTTCAAACTCCCCCCCCCGCCCTCGGCGCCGGCGCTGGCGGCCGCCAGCAGCGCCCACGGCTGGGACGCAGCGGCGATGACCAGAGGCAGCTCAGGGTGGGGTGGGGGGGTTTGAAACCCCCCCCACCCCCTTCCCTGGCGCCGGGGGGGGGGGGAGGTTCAACCCCCCACCCCCCTCGCGCCGGCGCCGGCGCTGGCGGCGGCCAGCAGCGCCGGCGCTGGCGCCGGCGACGGCGGGACGCAGCGACACTTACCACCACTACCACCACCACCACTACCACCATCACCACCGCCTCAATTCATCACCGCCACCACCAACAGCACCACACAATCACCACCAGCATCACCACCACAGCCACACCACAACCACCACCACAACTCACCATCACCACAAATCCACAAAAACCCACCACCACTACCACCACCACCACAATCTACCACACCGCCACCGCCACCACCGCCACAATCACCACCACTACCAGCAGCACAACCCACCGCCACCACCATCAACCACCACACCACCACCACCGCCACCACCACCACCACCACAACAAACGTCCACAAACCACCACCACCACAACCCACCACCACCACAACCACCACCACCACGACTCACCATCACCACCAATACCACAAAAACACACCACCACTACAACCACCACCACCACCACAACCTACCAGCAACGCCACCACCACCGCCACAACCACCACCACTACCAGCAGCACAACCCACCACCACCACCACAAACCACCACACCACCACCACCACCACCACCGCCACCACCACCACCAGCACCACCTCCACAAACCACCGCCACAACCACAACCCACCACCACCACCACCACCACCAACCACCACCACACTACCACCAAACTACCACCACCACCACTGCAACCCACCACCACCACCACAAACCACCAACACACCACCACCAAACCACCACAACCACTACCCACCGCCACAACCATCACCACCTCAACAAACCACCGCACCACCACCACCACAACCACCACCACCGCCACCACCACCACCACCACCACCGCCACCACAACCCACCACCAGCACCACCACCACCGTCGTCCTCGTCGACGCTCCCCGCCACCGCCGCCCGCCGCCGCAGGCGCTGGCGCCGGCCCAGAAATGGGAATCGTCGTCCCCGCCGCCGTCGCCGCCGCTGACGCAAGCGCCGGCCCGAGGAGAGGGGAAGCGGGGGAAGAGCGGGGTGTTCGAACCCACCCCCCGTCACGGGAGGGGGGGGGGTCCGGTTTCACCCCCCCCCTCCAAGCGACCACAGAACGCGCTCTTTCGCACATGCAAGCAACATGTGAATGCGTGTGCGGCCACCATTCAAGCGTGAATGGGGCGAGGAGGAGGGGATGCTCGCCGAAGCCGCGGAGCTCCATAGGCCCCCAGATCTGCCCCCCTGCCCCGAGCCCTGGTGCCGCTCTCCCCTCGTCTCGGATGCCCGAGCCCGCGCGGGTTCGCCGCCCCTCTCCCCCCTTCTCGGATGCCCAGCTGCGCACTGCTTGCGGTGCCCCGCGGCGGGCACTCTGGCCCCGTGCCCGCTAAGACTGACGCGTCGAACCAGTCCCCGTGGCTAAAGTGGGAAGGAGAAAGAGGACTTGGAGCGATAGGAGCAATGAAGGAGGAGGAGGAGGAGGAGGAGGAGGAGGAGGAGGAGGAGGAGGAGGAACCTTCGATGGCCACAGCGCCCAAGTCGGTCTTACATTTTTCTTAAATGACTCGACGGTTCGACTACCCAAGTCTGTCCAATGTTACACGGAGGATAAGAGGGTGAGGGTCCTTGACTCGCCGTCCCCTCGGCGGCGTCCAAGGTCGAAGCGCAAGGGACGCACGTGTCGAACTTGAGCCATCATGTTTACGGAATGTTGGGAAGGATGATGATGATGGTGGTGGTGATGATGATGATGATAATGATGCTGATTCTGAAGACGAGAGGGAAGATAATGAAAAATGAAGGGATGAAAGGATCCTGCCGCCGACGACATAGAGCAGACCACCCAGCGCCGCGGCAGCCACCTGTTGGGGCATCCCCAACAGACCACACGGACAATTCATTTTCGACGTGCCCTTTTTCTTCTTCTCCTCGGCCTGCCCCCCTGGGAGGGACATGTAGAAAAGGGGACCGAGGTTCTTGGCCATTCTTGGGCTTTCAGGCTCCTCCTAATCCTCCTTCTCCCTTTTGTCGCTGCTGCTCCTTCTCCCCCTTCACGCCCCCCACAGAAAACGAACGTTTGAAATGTCCACGGGTGCTTCCTCATCTTCCCATGCTCCTCGCCCCGTCAGACCCTCTCACCCTTCTCCCCCTCCCCCTCCTCCGCTGTATTCCCAAGCATCCTGTGGTGTACGGTCATCGTTGTGAATCCGCAGCGCCCCGCGCCCTCCTCCTTCCTTCCTCCTCCCTCCTCCCATCGATGCCTCTGCTCTCCGCGCGTCTGGTTTCAACGTTCAGTGGCCCTGCAAGGAGCTCCTGCTGCAGCGCCCGCATGGCGGCGCCGCGTCCATGTCGGGACACCCCTCGCATTCGTCGTGGCCTCGTAGGGAATTCCACCGAAGGCCCCAGTGGCAGCGCCCGTACACGCCTCGGAAAAATAGGGAACACTCATGCCACATTCATCTGTGAACGCCTCCCCCTTCCCCCAATGTTCAAAGTTGGCGGTGGGTCTGATGAGTTGCACCTCGACCGCAGTCTCCCCCCCGCGTGCCAACTTTGAGTTTGGGGGGCAGGGGGGGTGTTCACTAATTGTTTCCCTCTACCGTATGGCGGTGCCACCCACTTTCGGCACACCCTTTACGAGTTTCGTAGCCCCGCGAAGAACCCCATCGTAGGCCCAAGTGGCAGCGCCCGCATGGCGGCGCCGCCTGCACTTCGACGCACCCTTCGCACGTTTTGTGGTTCCGCCGAGAGCTCCGCCGAAGGCCCCAGTGGTAGCGCTCGCAGGGATGCGCCGCTTCATGTGGGCACACCTGTCACATTCATTCGTAGCCCGATAGGACCCTGTAGGGGGCTCCACCGAAGGCCCCAGCGGTAACACCCGCATGGCGCCGCCGCCCACCTTCGGGACACTCCTCACACACGTCGTGGCCCGTGGGGAGAGATCCTTTCAAAACCCCTCCCGGACAGCAGAAACGTCCCAGTTGGTGGGTATATCCCTCACACGCTTCGTGGCCCCATGCCTCCACCGACATGGTTTGAGCCAGGCGCGCGCGGGCGGTCGTCGTCGTCGTTCGTCCGTCGTCGTCGCGCGCGCCTCTCTCTGCTTTCCTCTCTCTCCCTCTTCTTCCTTCGTCAGCTTTCTTTCTTGCCTCTCTCTTTCTTTTCTGTTCTCCATCTGCTCTCTTCTCTCTCTCCCTCTCGCCCTGGGTCCTCGTCCTGGGGCCGCTCACCCCGGACTTGAAGGCCCAGTGGCAACTCCCGCATGGTGGCGCCGCCCCATGTCGAAACACAACTCTCCCAGTCTTCGTGGCCCCGCAGGGAGCTCCACCGAAAGCTCCAGGGGCAGCGCCCCGCCCGTTTCGGCCACCTCTCGCAAGTTTTTGGTGGCCCCATTGGGAGCTCCCCCCTGCCTTCCCACCTGCCCTGCGGTATATTCACACCTGAATCTGGTTGGGTCCTTCGCCTGGACATTTTTTTGGTTTGTATTCGTCGTCGTCGTCGTCGTCGTCATCCTCCTTCTCCTCCTCCTCCTCCTACTCCTCCTCCTACTCTTCCTCCCCCTCCTCCTCCTCCTCCTCCTCCTCCTCCTCCTCCTCCTCCTCCTCCTCCCTCCTACTCCTTCTCCTCTTCCCCTCGTGCTCCTCCTCCTCCTCCTCCTCCTCCTTCGCTGCGAGGGCGTTAAGCAACGCATCCCCCTTCTCCTTACCATCCCTTGTCCGCCCTCTTCCTCCTCCCGTCCCTCCTCCTGTCCTTCTCCTGCAATCTCCTCCTTATAAGTGGCCCCTCGTGGTCGCACCGCCAGGCGCGTTGGAAGGGCGGGCCGGGCGTCTCGGAGAGATTTCTTCCTCACCGTTCTTGACCGTTAAACAGTTGCGCGAAGGGAGGACGTGTCGTTTTGAAACTGTGGTTCTCGTCCGAACGACGCGCACATTTGCTTTGAACAGCCCAGGTTTTCAGTGATGGAGGGCGGGTGGCTTTTCCTTTTGACAGGTGGTTCTCCTTTGCAGGCGCAGCACGCGTTTTCCCTCCAGCCGGTGGTGTTGGGTTCTCGGTTCGACTCCGCAGCGCCCCGCGTCCCTCCTCACACCTCCCCATCCTCTCTTCGCGTCTGCCCTCCAGCCATGTCCTCATCGTAATCGCCAAATCATCCTTCTCATCACAGTCACCATCACAAACATTAGCATCGTATTCATCAGGATCACCACCATCACCTTTACAATCACTATCACCATCACCATCATCACCTCACCGTCATCATCACCACGACCATCACAATCATCATCATCACAACCAACACTATCATCAGCACCATCATCAACATCATCATTATCATCACCATTAACATCATGATCACCACCATGACCATCATCACCAGCACCATCACTAGCATGATCATCATCACCATAATCACAATCATCACCATCATCATCGTCATCATCGTCACCCTCATCACCATCATCATCACCATCATCGCCATCATCATAACCACCGTCAGGAGCATGACGACCACCACCACTATCATCATCATAATCAACACCATCACCATCATCATCATCATCAGCATCAACATCACCACCATCGACATCATCATGATCAACATCGTAATCATCACCATGAACATCGCCACCATTACCGTCATCATCATCATCATCATCATCATCATCATCATCATCATCGTCATCATCATCATCATCATCATCATCATCATCATCATCATCATCATCATAATCACCATCATCATCACTATCACCATCATCATCAACATCGTCATCATACCACCAGCAACATCACCATCATCACCATCACCATCACCATCTTCAGGATCATCGCATCATCATCACCATCCGCACCAGCATGAGCATCACCATATACTCATCGTCGTCACAATTAACATCAACATCATCATCACCATCATTCGTTTCAACCATCCTGTGGTCTTGGGGCCCTCGTTTTGAATCCGCAACGCCGTGCTCCACCTCATCTCCCCCTCCTCCTCCTCCTCCTCCTCCCCTCCTCCTCCTCCTCCTCCTCCTCCTCCTCCTCCTCCTCCTCCTCCTCCTCCTCCTCTTCCTCCTACTCTGCCTCCTCCGGTTCATCCCAGCCCTCGTGTGTGTTGGCTCCGGTGGCAGGGTCGGCGTGCGTGCTGAGCTCCACCGAAGGCCCCAGTCGCACAGGGCGCCTGGCGTCCCGGCGCTCAATTTCGGTACACCTCCTGGGGAGCTTCACCGATGGCCCAACTGGCACAGCTCCAGTAGAGGGAAACAATTAGTGAACACCTCCCCTGCCCTCCAAACTCAAGGTTGGCACGCGCGGGGGAGACTGCGGTCGAGGTGCAACTCATCAGACCCACCGCCAACTTTGATGAACATTGAAGGGAGGGTGAGGCGTTCACAGATGAATGTGGCATGAGTGTTCCCTATTTTTTTCCGAGGCCTGTCGCACGGAGTCTCCCCGCCACTCCCGGCACGCCCCTCCCACGTTTCGCTGCGCCACGCGGGGGCTCCCCCGATGGCCCCAGTGGGACCGTTGGCGCGCGGTGTCTCCCCCGACAATCTCGGCACACCCCGTGCACTTTTCGTAGCCCCGCGGGGGCAGAAAGCGATACCCACAATTGCAGGACGCCCAACTGCATATTCTCTCTCGGATTTGTCTTCGTGCAATAGAGATTCGACGCGGACATCCTCACACGTGCACCCAGTTTCCTGACACTTCCCGCTGCCAGTGACCGAGAACGAGAGAGTCTTTTAGCCTGCTACGCAGCGGTGATCATGGGGCTCTGCATGGAGGGGCGGAGAATCATAATTGCAAAACGAGCGCCTCGCTTTAGTCATCCCCACAATCTGGGCGTGACTGGGCCCAGGATATGCCACCTGACAGCTCAGGGTGCTGATGCTAAAACAAGCGCCTCGCTGGAGACATCCCCACACTCTGCTTCGAACGCAGGGGGTCAGAGCCGCAACACGAGCGCCTCGCTCGAGACATCCCCCCAATCTGACCGCGAACGGACAAGTGTCCGGGCACCTAGCGGCTCCCCCTTGGGGTGCTAAAACAAACGCTCCGCTCGAGACACCCCCACAGTCTGCTCGGAAAGCAAAGGAATCAGAGCAGCAAAACGAGCGCCTCGCTCGAGACATCCCCACAATCTGCTCGGAAAACAGAGGAACCAGGTGAGCAAGCCGAGCGCCTCGCCCTTGAGACATTCCCACAATCTGGCCGCGAACGAGAAAGTGCCCCCGCACCTGGAGGCTCCCCCTTGGGGTGCGAAAACAAACGCCCCGCTCGAGACACCCCCACAGTCTGCTCGGAACGCAAAGGAATCAGAGCAGCAAAGCGAGCGCCTCGCTCGAGACATCCCCACAACCAAGGCGTGAACGGGCAAGTGTACCCGCCCCTAGCGGCTCCCACTCAGGGTGCTAAGATAAGCGCCCCGCTGGAGACGTCCCCGCACTCTGCTCGGAAAGCACACCAGTCAGAGCCGCCCGCCGAGCGCCTCGCTCGAGACATCCCCGCAATCTGCCCGCGAACGGGCAAGTGCCCCCCGCCCCTGGCGGCTTCTCCTTGGGGTGCCCGAGTACCGTACCTGCTACGTCGCGGTGACCATGGGGCTTCTGAGTAAGAGTGAGTCTGGGTAGGAGAGATTGTGTGGGTGGGTCTGGGTTCGAATTCATCTGAATCTGTGCTTGAGTCGGAGCGTGACTAATGTAAGCAGGAGCTTTGCGTATGAGTGTGGAGATGACTAAGCTGAGTAGGAGTGCAACTGAATGTCCGTGTCCTGCGTGAGCGAAAATGAATGTGCGTGAGTCTGAATGAGTGTGATTGTGAGCGTGACGGAAGGAATGTGAAACGGGAGGAGGAGGAGGCT